CCGGCGAGCATATTAATTAGTGGAAACTCGCCGGTTAACCCGTATATTGCTGAAATTATAATTTTACACAAATTTAAACAAATTTTTCACGATTTTTCGACATTATCACATTATTAGGGTCTATATAATAAGTTGTAACACTATATTAGTTCAAAAATACTGTATACTTATATAACTTACGTATGTTATGTGGTCGTTATATTTGGTAATGTTTAATCCTGGTTGTAATGTAAGTAATTTGTCATGCAGTCGAATCGTTTTAATATTTCTTAAAAATATTTCTTATCGCGCTTCTCGTGGAACTGCCACGTCGCTCCTCACCCCCTCAGTTTCACCGTCACTCCTCGTCAGTTCCTCCTTCGACCATCTTCGGTTCCGACACCAACTCTGGTATATATATGCACCTCGATTTCCGCAGCCTGCCTTTCTCGTCCGGTTCGCCCTGCCGATTTCCCATAACGCCACTGCAGAACGAATCCCGTCGCCGGGTGGGACGGTTTCCCGGACGCGGGCAGCATTTCCGTTACATATGCTTTCGGTGGTCCTTCGGCGGCGGCTAATTTCCAAACGTGTCCTGCTCCTCCCTATCCTTTTTCCGCGTTTGCGGCTGCTGCGTGTGTCGCCGCTGCATGCCATATCTTATATTTTTCTCCGCCATCGAGCCATCCTCTTGCTCCGCCGTCTGATTCGCTTTCGGCCGCATATGTTGTAGTGCACCGCCCAAAGCCGTCGTCCAGACCCGACGAGAACGTGACTGGGTCACCGCAAAAGCCGACCACGTCCTCCGGCATCCCGGTCCGACAGCTCGCCGATGGTCCTCTCGTCGTCCTCAGTTCTGCAGTATGTCTCGTTATAGGCTCCACTTCAGTTGGACGCCTCTCCATAGTTCCGCGGAATGGACATTATAACCAGCGTTTCTCCTTAAGTTTGTCCGGTCTTTCTTTGGTCGTGTAAATAAGTGATTTTAAAAACTATTGTTTAAATAAATAAATCTCGTTACTACGGTCCAAGATAATATTATTCATAATACTATGCCATTGTTTAATATAATATTATTTCGTATTTAGTAGTTATTAATTCAATTATAGCCAGATGCATATTATATTAGCTGTGTATTTATACGATATTAATGTTATACCTACCTTATAAGTTATAATTAACAATGGATATATATTTTATGGACATAAGCTCAACTAAGAAGGCTGGAGTAGTGAAGTGGCTATGCCCCCCCCCCCCGAAAATTACACAAAGCTTCCCTCCAAAATAAAGGAGACTACAAAACTATTTCAATTTCCAAGTTAACCTGCAGGCGTTTGAGTAACGAAGCGTTCCCGGAAATTACCTGCATTTGCAGTTTATTTGAAACTAATAATACTTACCTATAATATTCTCCAAACATAAAGTTGTGGCGAACGTTTGTTCGAATTGAATTTTTACGGTGACCCGTTGCAATGGAAGACCATTTAGTTTAGGACTGCCGAACGAATATAGTCCACACCCGAAGTCGCGATCGGAACGGTTTTCTACAGAAGAAAACTATATATGTACCCACATTACGTAAGGGACCGCGATTTCGGTAAAAATAAAACCAGCCGCTCGCTTTTTGTTTAGTCCTATGAACGTGATTAGGTACACACAAAGAGGGGGCGAGTCGCTCGTGATATCAGATTATCAATTTAATAGAATAAGAAATATCTGTATAGGTAATTAGCTGCGAACTACGCATAAACTATGAGCCCACCCCTAAAACTGACATACGTCCTACCCATATGGAATTTTCGAAAAAAATTTTTACCAATATTTAGTAAGTATTTTGTGAGAATTTGTATGGTCTTGGTTTTCCCGTTATCAAACAAAAATAATGGGTGGGGCTGAGGTGATGTGATTTCGGCCCCACCCAAGGTTAAAAATTATTAATCATAGTCGTAACTACACCATAATTTAGTACGTATTTTGTATGAATTTGTACGACTCTTCTCAAACTTTGAAGTTTGTCATACAATTGTATACAAATTACGTACTAAATATTGGTAAAGAAAATTTACAAATGGGCTATATACTGTCTAAAATTGTCTCTTCGGGTCTCAGCTTGTAGTGGCGTCCTCGAGGGTGTACGGCTAGGTCAAGTGACAGTGTTATAATATTATAAACTACGGACGGGTCCTATGCGTTCCCACGAAAATCGCCAAATATAGTGGCGATAACAACGATGGTATTATAATATTAATTATTATTACTATCATTATTATTAAGATCTGCCTGCCTGCTGTACGGTCCTCGCCGAGTGTTTTCGTGTCGGGCAAATTATCGTGAATTGCGGCTGACAGCTCTCCCAAAACTCATCACAATCTCATTAGGACCGACACACAATATTATATACGTCTGCGGCACGTCGATTTGTGCATCGCGCATGTGTGTTTTTTCTTTTGTCGTCGTCATTGAAAATTACACGGGTACGATTGCTAATTGCCCGGCAGAATACCTGTAATTTCACCGGCCATTTTGTCTGCGACAAAACTACGACGACGACGACGACCCTCGGGGCCTCTAATGTGTAACTCGATATTATTAGTGACCGTACGGAATTATATATTATTATTATTATTATTATTGTACACACAAAAACCCACGTCGGATTCCTCGCGGTCGAGTACGCCGCCGCAGTGGGAACAAAACGCTGTAATATTGTAATCAACGTCGGTTTTTTTTTATATTTTTTTATTCCGTTCGCGTGGTGTGTTTTCGTCTCCCACCGAAGTCTTTTTGTTTTTTTTTTTTTCATTCGGTTTTCTGTTTTTTTTCCTACTCGTTTATACTTGTTCACGAGTTTTTTTTTTTGTTATTTATTTGTATTCTCTTCGTGCGTATCTCTTATGACGATCGTTACGCGTAATTGACAAGACAGGGGACAAGTCCACTTTTTATAGCTTTTCAAGAGAGACAAAAAATTAAATATTGAATGAAATAATAAAGATATTATTTTGAAATTTTCGCATTAATTTTAGATTCTGAGCGTAGCGATGAATGTATTGATTTTGCAATGTTGTTTTTTGTTTTTTTTTTTCGTGTCTGTCATCACGTTTTGAGGCAGTTAAAGTGCTTCGATTTTCTTCATCGACAACTTTTCTGGTAGGAAAGTGAATCTAGTTGGTACTTTGGGGGGTCAAAAGTATAAATTTCCCAACAGTTTTTAAACACGGCAGGAAAAACTAACAAAAAATTAAGGAAAAAACGGGAATTTTTACTCACAGCCAATTTTCGGAAAATTCGGTTTTGTCTTTTTACGTAACACAGAAAAAAATGAACGTAGATACTTGAAATTTTCACCAAATGTTTATATTTGTAATTGTACCATACCACAAAATGTTCAAAATTTTTCGAATTTTTTTGCGCAAGTTGTATGTAAAAGTAATTTTCGACTTTTTTTTTGTTTTTTTTTTTTAAATGTCGATAACATTTTTTAAAAATGTTGTCAAAATTCATCAAATTCTCGAAAATGTGCAAATTATTTTGTACTAAACAATTTATAAAATGTTCAATTTTTAAAACTAAGGATTGAAAATTTAAAGCAAGGTTCTTTTGGAGTTAATAGGTAATTTAACAAAAAAATCTGAAAAATATATTAAGATGGTCATTTTATATACAGGTTAGTTCAAATTTGGCATGGGAAATGTTTTTTTTCTATAATTATCTATTGAAAAATTTTTCACTGGGTCGAAAAGCTTGACAATTTAATATATGGTTTCTCATGAGTTGTTTTGATATCAGTTAAAAAATATTAAAGATACGTGGCCACATTTTTTTTTTAATGCATTTAAAGTTCATATTTTTACAAAATTCATCAAAATCACGAACATTTGCAAACTATATTTTACAGTACAAAATTAACTAAATGTTAAATTTTAATATCTATAAGGATCGTGCCTCGTGGTAAAAAATTACTTTTATAACCTAAAATATATTTAGATAATATTGGTTGATGAACCGTCTTCGCTCAGAATCGTTTTTTGTATGCAATGATTTATCGTTGAATTCAAATTTAATAAATCCTGTACAGTGACCCACTCGATAACTTTTGTACAGCAGAGCGGTATCCACTTACCTACCTTTTTATAATATACATTATACACCAGTCACCAATATGAATTAAACCTAATTAGAAAAATATAACCGGGAACTCACTCTGCTGTATAGTAAGGGTGGAGTGAACCTCGGTCATAGAGTAAATAACTATATTGTTTGTGTTAAAATTGAATGCAATGATTTTCTATATGAAAGACGATTCTAAACGAAGATTATTTGTTCGGTATTTCATCTTCAAGCACTAATAAAAAAAGTTGTGCCTATGTATTTTGATAATTTTTGAATCACTGTAAAACTAGCTTTAGACGAACTTTGTATTTGGTGCATTTTCAAATGTTTTGACTCAACCAAAATGTTTTTATCGAAATTTATAAAAAAGAGATGAAATATTTCATATGCCTATAAATAGCTAAAAATTAATGAAATAATTAAAAAAAAAAAATACATTAGAAAAATCGAAAGTTCAAGTGTTCAATTACATATAAATAGCTTAAAAAACTTTTAACTGAACTCTACGCCACTAATGGCACATAATATAATTCATAGGTACTAGTTTCTATATGAATATAATATGGTATTATATTATTTAAAATAACAATATTGTTTTTTTTTTAACTATTAGTACTGAAGGTACTGTGAGAGAAATCGATCAGGATACTTCTAATGCTGACTTTAGTTCTCCAATACAAAAGTAAGTTAAATAATATAATATAATTATTTATTTAAAAATAATAATGTGGTTGACACATATTTCATATATTTAAGTATTTAACTATTTATTTTATACTCTATTTTATAGTGTTATAAGTTATAACTTATAATAAGTAATCATTTTTAATAGTACAGTGACAGGTGTGGATATACTGACTGATATACCGGGGTTTAATGATATATCTGCGATTGAAATTTCTGACGGCATGTCAAATTGTGGTATTGAAAATGGTAACAATTATATTAACAACAGTAATTCCAGTACATTCAATTTATCTCCAGAAATTAAAAGTCCACTCGCTCAATCGACCTTTATAGAAATTGAACCAGAAAATTATGTTATAAACTCCACTCAACTTTCTGTGGAAATGTCCAATGAGCAAATTGAAAGGTATCTAATCTTAGCTAACAACTTTATACTAATATTATATAAATATTTTATATTTTAAAAGTCAATTAATTTTTGCGAAATATTTTTTAATTATTTTTTTAGTTCTAAAGAATTGTGTGGTCGTCGAATTGTGGATATGAATTTTGTATTCAAACAAATTTTGAATTGTAGACACAAGGGAGGGCTAGACTGTACATTCTTAGATATGGAATTAATTTCTGAACACAGAAAAGGATTTTTTTGTTCTTGGCTGTTTAAATGTTTAGTTTGTCAAATTAAAATAAAAATTGACTCTGAGAACACTTCTGAAACTGAATATGTAGGAGTAAATAAAGCAGCAGTTAGTGGTTCTATTGCAATTGGAATTGGTCATACACAACTGAATGAATTTTCAGCGACTATAGATGTCCCGTATATTTCACCTAATGTGTTTATTAAACTGCAATCAAATATTGGTGAAATTATAAATGAAACTGCGTGGGATGAAATATACCTAGCCGGTATGATAATTACAATATAAAATTATAAAATTCTTACAATAATTTTATTTATATATTATAATTTATTATGTATACAGTAGCATGCTAAAAAATTGTTATACTTGCTTTAAACTTAGTACTTACTGTTCTCTATATGTAAAGAGTGATCCATTTAACGTAAGTTATTATAATTATATATACATTTTTTTAATATATTAAAAAAAATTTTAATTTCATATTTCGTTGCAGTATATTAATCGCAATATTTCGATCTAAATAACAATCTTATTTTGGACGTCATGTAGTTTATTACTATAATTATTTAATAAAAAAACTGTGTTAATATATTTAATATATTTTTTAATTTTAATGACTTTAAACGAGTCTTTTTACATTAAATGGATCACTCGGTATATATATATATATACAGTATATCCACGGAAACAGGGTAGATCTTTAACTATTATAGGTCTATACATTTATTTAGGAATAGAAGAAAAAAAGTTAGCCATTGAAGATGGTAATTTAAATTCGGATGGAGTACCCATGATAACTGTAGTAGCTGACGGATCGTGGTGTAAGCGAAGTTATAAAACTAAGTACGATTCGTTATCTGGAGTGGTAAGATACTATATAAGTTCTTTTAAATTTATATTGCTAAATTATATACCTATAATAATTATTTATTATATTGCTGACTAAATAGTATAATTTTATGCATTTAAGTTTAGAGGATATAGTTAAAAAAATATATAGGTACTCTTACATTATTAATTTAACAATAATTGGGTTTAGAACTAAAAAAATTTTGTTCATTGGAATACGTAATCGCTATTGTTTAATATGCGAACGTTCAAAAAACAAAAACACAATATCTGAAACTCATAATTGTTTTTTAAATTGGAAAGGAACATCAACTGGTGTGGAAGCTGACGCTATAGCTGAAGGTTTTGCGAAGAGTATTGAAATGCATGGTCTAATATATAATAAACTTATAGGTATGAAGTCAATTATTATCATTTTTGTAACATTTTAGATATTTTCAAATGCAATTTTCTCGGCTAACATTAATTTAATCTCCTGTAGTTCTAAAACCTAATAATAGAATGAATTACTTTAATCACAACAATATCATAAATTACACTTCGTAATATTATATGTATAACCTACTGTATAGCAGTGGTACTACCCACTTATTGCCTTTTTAACCTTTTAAATAGTTTAGTGAATTTTATTATTTTACCTATATAATATTATGTTTAGGGGATGGAGACAGTTCAGTGTGTAAGCGACTTCATCAAACTTTACCATATGGGCCAAAATTATTAGTAGATAAAATTGAATGTCTTATGTCGCAACCACATATTGAGAAATCTTGGTCAAAAAATATCTCAATTAACCAAAAATACTAAATATCCAGTGCACTTACGTAATTTATTAAATCAGAAACAAAAATGCAATAAATTTCGAACAGCCATAACTATGGCTATTCAGCATAGAAAATCGCTATGTGATAGTGAAGTAAACAAAATTAAAGGTAGTTAATAAATGAATTTTTGTTTTTTACACAAATAAAAATTTTAATCACAAGTAAAAATAATATAAGTTAAATAAAATAATTTTAGATTTAAAAAAGGATATTGAAAATGGACCATCACATTTACTAGGGCAACATTTAAATTGCGATTCTTATTTTTGTAATGGTTCTAAAATCGGTGAACAAAATTTTGTACCTGAAGCGGTAGAGTGTGGGTTAATGAGTGAAATATCACGAATTTACCATCGAGTTGTTGAAAAGGGCAAGACCCCGTTCGCCCAAAAATGACCCTTCGCTTTTTGCCCACGTCTCTTTTTGCCCAAATATTTTAAAACTACTTTCCCTTTTCACCCAAGAATATTTAATAGCACTTTCCGACCAAATTTTTATAATACACACTTTGGGAAACACTTACTTTAAATTATTTATATCTCACTATCTTAGTATCCAACATAATAATAAATTTGTCATATTTAAATTTATTTATTTGTGTTGATTAGTTTTATAAAGCTATTTAAACCCAGAGGGTACCACGAGGAGGCGACTTCTCTTACTCTCCAAAAATGTATTGTGTTTTTGTACATTAATATAATTTTTATATAATATAAGTAAGTTTTTATCAAAAGTATAAATCGTCAAAATTTTGATGACATTGATTATTTATGTCTATCATATATCTACAAACGACCGCTTAATATCTTAATTTTATCTTTATAATATTTGGAAACTATAAGTATATAATTTCTACAATGGTCCGCCGTGTAGATATATCGATCTCAGAGTAGTCTGTTTATTATTTTACAAAGATAAGAAGATAATAATTAAACAGTTTCGTCCACATTCGAGGCGAAGTGTTCCAGTGCGTTTTTCGACAGAAATGTTATATTAAACATTGAGTGCAGTTTCGTTTACTTTCGAGTCGAAGTGTTCGAGTGCGTTTTTCGACAGTTATTTTTTTATTAAACATTGTTGACGATTTTATTATTTTTGTAAATTTAAGTAAAATTATGGAGTTCTTAGAAAGTAAACGAGGATGTCGTATGGTATTGTATAATAATTTTAAGTATAACTTTGGATCGACAAGTAAAAAAGATGGCTCTACTCGTTGGAGATGTGTTACGAGAACTTGTAGTGCACTAATATACACAGACAAGAATGATATTTTTCTGTCAACAACTGGAGAACATAATCACGAATCTTACGATATAACAAATATTCATCGTCTAATTATAAATGTTGGATGTAAACGTAAAGCTGTAGAAGATATGCATATACAACCGAAAAAAGTAGTACCTATTAAAGGAAATTGCTCATAATGACCACGCAGCATCAACATTTACTGTAAATGATATTAATAGGCTGAGAAAAAACATTTATAAAGCTCGTAAAAGTGTTCTCCCACCTAATCCGACTAATATTAATGAAGTGCATACCCTTATTGATACAGAAAGAATAATTACTACTAGAGGAGAGTCGTTTTTATTAGTCAATGATAAAAATAAAAATGTATTGATTTTTTCGTGTGAAAAAAATCTATTATTCTTGAACCAAGTCGAAAATATATACGCGTAGATGGTACTTTTAAATATGCGTCAAGATTTTTTAATCAAATGTTTACTTTACATGGATTTAAAAATGGACATTATATTCCGTTAGTATTTTGTTTGCTCATTGATAAATCGGTCAAAACTTATGAATTTGTGTTTACTATGATTGTTGAAAAGTGTAATACACTTGGTTTTTTATTCTCACCAAAAAACATTACCGTTGATTTCGAATTAGCAATTCATAAAGCTATTGAAAATGTCTGGCCGAATACAACAATAATTGGATGCCGATTTCATTTAACTCAATCATGGTGGAGAAATATTCAAAAGTGTGGTTTAACTTCTTTCTATAAAGACGAATCTTCAGAAATTGGTAAGTGGATACGGTACACATTTGGTTTAGTATTTTTAAACCCTGATGAAGTATCAAATTGTTTTGTTGAAGACCTATTATCTGACTGTCCAGTAAATGACAAATTAACAAATTACTGTGACTATTTAACCGATACTTACATCTCTGAAGATAGTTTATTTCCACCGAGTATTTGGGCATCTAATACGTCGGAATTAATAAGAACAATTAACGCGTGTGAATCTTTTCATTCTTTTTTCAACAAAAGTTTTAATCATATTTCTCCACCAATAAGTGCCTGGTTAAGTGTTATTAATGAAATTCAAACTGAAGTCTACATTAAATTAAATAGTTTACATTTACAAAGGTGTCCCAAAGATAAAAAAATTATAGATCGACAGCAAAAAAATGAAGAAAAAATACAAAAATATAAAGCAGGAACAATTAATCGGTATGATTTTATTAAATTAATGTCATTTAACTATTCTATTTAAAATTATACTATCAACATTTTGAGTCTTTGACGATTTATACTTTTGATAAAAACTTACTCTTGTATTATATAAAAATAAATGGCTTTATAAAACTATAATTAACACAAATAAATAATTTAAATATAACAAATTTATAATATATTATAAATAATTAAATAATTTAAAGTAAGTGTTTCCCAAAGTGTGTATTATAAAAATTTGGTCGGAAAGTGCTATTAAATATTCTTGGGCGAAAAGGGAAAGTAGTTTTAAAATATTTGGGCAAAAAGAGACGTGGGCAAATAGCGAAGGGTCATTTTTGGGCGAAAAGAGTACCGCCCGTTGAAAATGCCCAAAGTTTGTTACTAGATGTTGATAATCATAGGCGTGCGCACGGGGCGAGCCGGTCAAGCCCAGGCTCGACCTGAAACTTTTTAGGGGCATAGTAAAATGTGTGTATATATTTAAATATTTTATTATAATGCTTATATTATAATAATATGTTCGTGGAGATCATGAAAATTTTGTTTGTCGTGAAAGTATAAAAAAATCAAAAATATTTGTGTGTACCTACCTAACCTAACCATTACATAAATTTTATTAATCTAAAAAAAAACATTATACCTTTATAGGTACAAATACAATAACTATAGTACTATAGACATTAATAGGTTAATATATTATCAACATGTATGTTGGTGTGTTAAAAAAAAATTAGGGGTGCAGTCCAAATATTAGGATTTAGGGCACTGTAATTGTCTAGGCTCGACCAGAAATTTAAGTCTGCGCACGCCTATGTTGATAATAATATATGTGAGCAATTTAATAGTATTATCAACAAACATATTGCTGGAAAACTCATTAATTTCGCTTTAAAAAATTCATATAACGCCCGTGTTGAAGCTGCTGTAGTATCTTTTAATACTTCAGGACAATATATTAGATTAATTCATAAAAAAATTACTAAGAAGAGTCCAGGTATTTATATTTTTCATTATTTAGACATTTATATTTTTATATATTGTTTATAATTTTTTTACTTACATAGGAATAGTTGGTAAACAATTTTTGAAAGCCCGTGAAAGTAAATTGAGTAATTTACAAAAAAGAAGGCTTAATTTTCAAAAAGAAAAATATACTGCTAATCGAAAAAAAAATGTTGGCCCCGATGAACATTATGTGCTAGCTGAACCATTGGACGATAATGAAACACCTGGAGATATAGATGAAAAAAAAAATAATTTTATGAAATCATTGTCAATTTCTAGTGAAGCTATCGATAAGTTAGAAAGGGACACAATTGACCAATCGAATTCACAAACGTGGCAAGTTGAACGTAGAATTCGCCTAACTGCATCCAACTTTGGTAGAGTTTGCAAAATGCGTTTAACTACATCCTGTAAAGGAACTGTATATGATTTGCTTTACGGAAATGTAACAACCAAGGCGATGGAATATGGAAAAATGATGGAAGATACAGCTAGAAAGAAATTTGAAACTTTAACCAATTTTAAAGTTTTAAATTGTGGTTTGTTTATCGACAAAGATAAACCATTCTTAGCTGCTAGCCCTGGTGAATACGATTTATTATATTTATTTATATTATGTATATTGTATAATGTATATTGTAAATTATGTATATTTTGTATATACCTACAGATAAAGTATATATTTTATTTTCTGCAGATGGTTTAGTATAGGCGATACAGCTCTACTTGAAATTAAATGTCCTTTATCGATAAAAGATACCATTGATATTCAAGTTGCAGTCGACAACAAAAAGGTACAATAAAATAATTATTATTATTATAAACTATGATACAAATAAACATGAATGTTTAGTATATTATACCTACCTATCTATATATGATTTTTATTTATAATTTACAGATACCTTATATAACCATTGTAGACGGTAAAATGAAACTAAAGAAATATAGTTCATACTACTACCAAGTGCAAGGGCAGTTGAAAATAACAAAGAGGAAGGTATGTTATTTTGTTGTATATTCAGAACACTGGCTTCATTATGATGTAGTTGAAATCGACAAAAACTTTTGGAGTTCTAAAATGGAAACTCAGTTAGAAACGTAAGTAAAAAATACGAACTAAATACCTATTACAGTAGTTGTAAATAACATAATATTTGAATGTTGTAACTTGAAATCATATATTTTACAGATTTTATAAGGAATGTCTTTTGCCCGAATTGGTTCAACCACGGTATGGCAAACGGCTATTGAAGTCAGATATTTTAGAGCCGAAACACATTTTAGAAAACATAAAAAAAAAGAATTTACCTATGATATAAATTGTTTTTTTATTTTTGTATGATTATCATTTTCAAAATATATATCGCTTATTTTTAAGCTAGTTATAAGGATTTGAAACATTCCATTTATTTTAGATTCTGAGCGGAGCGATGAATGTATTGGTTTTACAATGATGTGTGTTTTAATATTTTTATATTTTTATATTTTTATATTTTTATATTTTTGTGTCTGTCATCACGTTTTAGGACAGTAAAAGTGCTTGGATTTTCTTCATCAATAGCTTTTCTGATAGGAAAGTGAATCTAGTTGGTACTTTGGGGGGTCAAAAGTATAAATTTCCCAGTAGTTTTCACAAGCGCCGGGAAAAACAACATAAAAATTAAGGAAAAACGGGAATTTTTACTCAAAATCGATTTTCCAAAAAATCGAATTTGGTTTTTGGTGTAACTTTAAAACAAATGACCGTAGATACATGACATTTTCACTGGTTGTTTATAATTGCATTTTCAATACACGATAACATTTTCAAAATATTTTGATTTATTTTGAACTGTTTAGGGACATTTTCATTTTTCATTTTTTTTTAGTTTTTTTTCTAGAAATATCAATAAAATTTTATTTGTTGGTTGCGAAAGCTTGAAAA